CCCTATGGGGCCACGAAACGTGTGAGGGGGGTGCGAAATGGGTGGTGGGGAGCATGCGACACTGCAATTGGGGCCTTCGGGGAGCTCCCATAATGGGGCCACGAAACGTTGTGAGGGGTCGTTCGTGTATTATTGTCGTGCCGGAAATGGGTGGTGGGGAGGCATATGCGAACCCTGACACTGGGGCCTTCGGTGGAGTTCCTATGGGGGCCACGAAGCGTGTGAGGGGTGCCTTTGTAGCCACAGGGTGGTGGGGAGCATGCGAACGCAGCCACTGGGGCCTTCGGTGGAGCTCCCTATGGGGCCACGAAGCGTGCGAGGGGTGTGCCGAATTGGTGGTGGGGAGGCATGCGAACGCAGCCACTGGGGCCTTCGGTGGAGCTCCCTATGGGGCCACGAAACGTGTGAGGGGTGTGCCGAAATGGGTGGTGGGGAGGAATGCGAACCCTGCCACTGGGGCCTTCGGTGGAGCTCCCTATGGGGCCACGAAACGTGTGAGGGGTGTGCCGAAATGTGTGGTGGGGAGGCATGCGAACCATGCCACTGGGGCCTTCGGTGGAGCTCCCTATGGGGCCACGAAACGTGTGAGGGGTGTGCCGAAATGGGTGGTGGTGATGATGATGATGATGATGATGATGATGATGATGATGATGATGATGATGATGATGATGGGAGGAGGGAGGGGGGGGAGGAGGAGGAGGTGAGGAACGCGGGGCGCCGTCTCTTCAAAACGAGGACCCAACACCACAGGATGGTTGGGAAAATCATATGGGGATTGCAACATTCGAAATTCGGCGGCACCCCTTCGCGCAGATCCGTAGGGTCAAGGCGACAAAACACAAAGGGATTTGCACATTTCTGAAATCCCCACCAGCCCTTTGGGCGTGAGTGGTTTAGGGAGTCCGCTCTGTTCTCAACCCCCTTTCTTCCCATTCGGGGAGGGGTTTACCCCTCCCCCTTACCCCCTCCCCCTGGACCTGGAGGGGGTCTTCCGCGGGTGGTCAGAGGGTACTTGTTCTATCCCTGGGAGGGCTAAAATTCGACACCCCTCACGAGGATCGTCGCCCCCAGGGGGGGGGGACACTGAAAAATGCTCGCCTCATCTGCGACCGATCGCCCCCAAGATGGCCTCATCATGCCCCCAAGACGCTCCAAGAGGCGACCCAGAGAGCCTTCGGACGTTCCCCAGGGGCCCAAAAGAGAGCCCAAGAGGCCCCAAAACTGCCTCCAAGAGGCCTCCCTATTGCCTTGGATACGACTACTCCTCCTACTACGACTACTATTCCCACTACGATTGCTACTACTACTGCTACTGCTGCTACTACTACCACTACTACTACTACTACTACTACTACTACTACTACTACTACTACTACTACTACTACTACTACTACTACTACTACTACTACTACTACTACTACTACTACTACTACTACTACTACTACTACTACTACTACTACTACTACTTACTACTTACTACTACTACTACTACTACTACTACTACTACTACTACTACTACTACTACTACTACTACTACTACTACTACTACTACTACTACGACCACGCCTACTACTACTACTACTACTACTACTACTACTACTACTACTACTACTACTACTACTACTACTACTACTACTACTACTACTACTACTACTACTAGTCCTACTACGAGGGGCCCGAACGACTCGCACCAGGACGAGGTGCCCGAACGCCTCACACCACGAGGAGCCCGAACGACTCACACCAGGACGAGGGGCCCGAACGACTCACACTACGAAGAGCCCGAACGACTCACACCAAGAGGAGGGGCCCGAACGACTCACACCAGGACGAGGCGCCCGAACGACTCACACCACGAGGAGCCCGAACGACTCACACCACGACGCGGGCCCCGAACGACTCACACCACGAGGAGCCGGAACGAGTCACACCAGGAGGAGGGGCCCGAACGACTCACACCAGGACGAGGGGCCCGAACAATTCACACCACGAGAAGCCCGAACGACTCACACCAGGACGAAGAGCCCGAACGACTCACACCACGAAGAGCCCGAACGACTCACACCAGGAAAAAGGGCCCGAACGACTCACACCAGGACGAGAGGCCCGAACGACTCAAACCACGAGGAGCCCGAACGGCTCACACCAGGACGAGGGGCCCGAACGACTCACACCACGAGGAGCCCGAACGACTCACACCAGGAAGAGGGGCCCGAAGGACTCACACAAGGACGATGGGGCCGAACGACTCACCCCACGAGGGGCCCCAGCGACTCCCACCAGTCGTCGTCGTCGTCGTCGTCGTCGTCGTCGTCGTCGTCGTCGTCGTCGCCGCCGCCTTCGTCGTCGTCGTCGTCGTCGTCGCGGTTGTGGTCGTCGTCGTCGTCGCGGTCGATATCGTCGTCGTCGTCGGGTGCGTCGTCGTTGTTAGGATCATCGCTGTGGTCGTCGTCTCCGCTAAATCCCTCTTGCCTCCCACCGCTTTCTCTCCCTCCTTCTCCGCCTCGTCCTTCTCCCGCTCCCACCACAAGGAGGATGTACAAGGAGGCGGGAGGAAGGAGGAACAGGGGAGATATGCGGGGGCAGGCGGAAACACGCCTGAAAAACACGACTGTCGGCATGCTTCGCAAGAGTTGCTGTTTTGAGATGGGCTGGTGGGGATACGCGAAGCGTGAAGAATTCGGTGGCACCCCTCACGCAGATCGGCAGGGTCAGGGTCCAAAAACATATGGGATTTGCCACATTTGTGAAATTCGGCGGCACCCCTCGCGCAGATCCGTAGGGTCAGGGTCCAAAAACATATGGGATTTGCCACATTCCTGAAATTCGGCGGCACCCCTCACGCAGATCCGTAGGGTTAGGGCCGAAAAACAAACAGGTCCCGACACTGCTTCACGGCGGCGCCCAGACCTCGTGATTTAGCTTGTGCATCTCCCATTATCCGAGACAGGGGGCCGGCGGCATGGGGCGAATACCTTACGGATTATGATGATGATGATGATGATGATGATGATGATGATGATGATGATGATGAGGAGGATGAGGATGAGGAGGAGGAGGAGGAGGAGGAGGAGGAGGAGAGGAGGAGGAGGAGGAGGATGAGATTAGGAGGAGGAGGAGGAGGGGAAGGAGAGGGAGGAGGACGAGGAGGAGCGGAGGAGGAGGAGGAGGAGAAGGAGGAAGAGGAGCACGAGGAGGAGGGGTATGAGTAGGAGGAGGAGGAGGAGGGGGAGGAAGAGGAGGAAGAGAAGGAGAAAGAGAGGAGGACGAGGATGAGGAAGAGGGGGGGAGTGGGAATATGAGGAGGTGGAGGGGAAACTTAGCCTGGCGAAGGACCCAACCATATGCAGTTGTGAGTAATGCTGGTGTGAGTACCGTCTTCGGTGGATCTCCCTATGGGGCCACGAACCGTTTGAGGGGTGTGCCGAAATGGGTGTGAGGGCGGCATGCGAACGTTGCCACTGGGGCCTTCGGTGGAGCTCCTTACGGGGCCACGAAACGTGTGAGGGTTGCACCGAAGTTGGTGTGGGGGCGGCATGCGAACGCAGCCACTGGGGCCTTCGGTGGAGCTCCCTGTGGGGCCACGAAACGTGTGAGGGGTGTGCCGAAATTGGTGTGGGGGCGGCATGCGAACGCAGCCACTGGGGCCTTCGGTGGAGCTCCCAATGGGGCCACCAAACGTGTGAGGGGTGTGCCGACATGGGTGGTGGGGAGGCATGCGAACCCTGCCACTGGGGCCTTCGGTGGAGCTCCCTATGGGGCCACGAAATGTGTGAAAAGTGTGCCGAAATGGGTGGTGGGGAGGCATGCGAATCCCTGCCACTGGGGCCTTCGGTGGAGCTCCCTATGGGGCCACGAAGCGTGTGAGGGGGGCGGGGTGTGCCGCGAAATGGGTGGTGGGGCGGCATGCGAAACCTGCCACTGGGGCCGTCGGTGGAGCTCCCTGTGGGGCCACGAAACGTGTGAGGGGTGTGCAAAAGTGAGGTGGGGGCGGCATGCGAACCCTGCCACTGGGGCCTTCGGTGGAGCTACCTATGGGGCCACGAAACGTGTGAGGGGTGTGCCAAAGTGGGGCGGGGGCGGCATGCGAACCCTGCCACTGGGGCAGTCGGTGGAGCTCCCTATGGGGTCACGAAAACGGTGGAGGGGTGTACCGAAATGGGTGGTGGGGAGGCATGCGAACCCTGCCACTGGGGCCTCGGTGGAGCTCCCTATGGGGACACGAAACGTGTGAGGGGTGTGCCGACATGGGTGTGGGGGCGGCATGCGAACCCAGTCACTGGGGCCTTCAATGGAAATCCCCATGGGGCCACGAAACGTGTGAGGGATGTGCCGAAATGGGTGTTGGGGAGGCATGCGAACCAGGCCACTGGGGCCTTCGGTGGAGCTCCCTATGGGGCCACGAAGCGTGTGAGGGGTGTGCCGAAATTTGTGGTGGGGAGGCATGCGGACCCTGCCACTGGGGCCTTCGGTGGAGCTCCCTATGGGGCCACGAAACGTGTGAGCGGTGTGCCGAAATGGGTGGTGGGGAGGCATGCGAACCACTGCCACTGGGGCCTTCGGTGGAGCTCCCTATGGGGCCACGAAACGTGTGAGGGGTGTGCCGAAATGGGTGGTGGGGAGGCATGCGACCCTGCCACTGGGGCCTTCGGTGGAGCTCCCTATGGGGCCACGAAACGGGTGAGGGGTGTGCCGAAATGGGTGGTGGGGAGGCATGCGAACCCTGCCACTGGGGCCTTCGGTGGAGCTCCCTATGGGGCCACGAAACGTGTGAGGGGTGTGCCGAAATGGGTGGTGGGGAGGCATGCGCCAACCCTGCCACTGGGGCCTTCGGTGGAGCTCCCTATGGGGCCACGAAACGTGTGAGGGGTGTGCCGAAATCGGATGATGATGATGATGATGATGATGATGATGATGATGATGATGATGATGATGATGATGATGATGATGATGATGATGATGATGATGATGATGATGATGATGATGATGATGATGATGATGATGATGGGAGGAGGGAGGGGGGGGAGGAGAAGGAGGAGGTGAGGAACGCGGGGCGCCGTCTCTTCAAAACGAGGACCCAACACCACAGGATGGTTGGGAAAAACAAAAGAGGCTGGCGTGCATCACTTGCTCCGCGCCGCGGGCCCGCGGCTGGCGAGCAAATCTCACTACAGAGGCTGCCGCACCAGGCACGGCGCTGGAGCAATAGCACACGACGAAGGCAGGATGAGGATAAGTCCGGACGAGGGTACATCGGGAATTTCTGAGAACTGGCGGGTCTGAATGATGTACTGGGCGCCCCCTGGAACGCTCTGGAACGATTTATACTCGACCCAGGCCTGCCTCAGAGCAGGGCGCGGAGGAACAGGAGACAGACCAGCCACGAGAGAGCACCTGCGCTGCCGATCGGCCCGCTCTGTCATGTCAGCAGGGGTACTGAGGCCGCCGCAAGCAAAGCTAAGGTGACCAGGCAATTAACACGCAGAGGCACCGAGCCAGATTTCGCCGCCGCCGTGGTAGTGGTGGTGGTCGTGGTCGTCGGGCACGCCTTCACCTTGCACTTCGTGGTCTCGAACTGCGAGCCTTCGCACATCTTGCCGCCGTTCTGCGGCAAGACCTTTGGGAAAGACGGAAAGGGTCTTGGTGGAAACGGGTCCTAGTCCCCGGGTCTCTCCCCGGGACCAACCTTTCATCGTGAGTGCTCCTCGACGGTCCCAACCGCCTGGTACGGGCGCCAGGAGATCGAAATGGGTGGGAAACCTCCGGGGCCCCTGTTCTCAAGGACCTTTTTGTCTCTCCAGTGGCGAGACCTTGTAGCCGCGAGACCGGACCTGGGTGCCGGGATCCTCCCTGGGGCCGCAGGACTTGGTGCAGGCGGAGTAGGCCGCCCACTCGGCCCACTCGCAGTCGATCGGCTTGGGGGTGTCCCCCTTGGCCCCCTTGGCTCCAGGGGGGCCCCGGGCTCCCCGGGCCCCTGGTGCTCCGCGGGCACCCGTGCCCCCTCGCACCGTGGCGCCGCGGGGCCCCGTGCCGCCGCGCGGCCCTGGGGGGCCGCGTGGCCCAGGTGGTCCTCTCGGCAGCCTCCTGCGCCTGCGGCGCCTCGCCCACCAGAGACTCTGGTCCTCCGCGAAGCTCGCGCGCGGGTTCGGTCCGGGGTCCGTGTCGTCGTCGAGGCCGCTCGGCCCCTCTTCGAGCAGCGAAGCGTTGTGGTCGAGCGCGTCACCGTCGTCGTCGAGTGGGATGTCTGGAGGATAAGAGAGGCGCCCATGGTGATCAACTTGAACAAGCAGATTGCTCTTTTCTGCACCAGCAGTTTCGTCATTGCTCTCAAGCTCTTTCCGCATCAAACTTCCCTTTCGACTGTCGATGCTGGTATAGAGCGCATCTTCCAGCTTTTCAACTGCTGCGCCACTGGTGGGACTGACGCAGTCAACTGCCGCGCGCAGCAAGAGGAGCGAACATAATTTCGTCATGGACGCCTGATGGTAGTTGGATTGATCTGACAACTGAACTACGCGGCGGCTTGAGCCGAACTGCCTTCTGAGGCCAGAGAAAGAAGAGCAGTGCGAATCATATACACTGAATGATGTAGCCGAATCGGTCATGAGGCCTCCCCAGAGCAGCGGCCAAACCTGCGCGAACGCCACCAAGCAGGGCCATCGCGCGGCGCCGCGCATCGTGCATCGTCTGCGTCTTGCGCGGGCCGCAGATGCAGCGGGACCTTCTCCCACAAACGACTTCCAGCTCCTCTACCTTGCAGCCGACAAAGCTCGCCGTGACTTCGTTGCGCTCCTCCTTCGCCCTTCCGCGCCTTCGCGCCCCCTCCCCCCCACGGTGCGCGGCGGCGGCGCCACGTGCCCCCCCCTTCCTGCCAAGGTCGCGAATCTTGGTGCAATCCCCGTGCTCCTCCCAGTTCTTCTGCGTGCAACAGGTCGGGCACTTCTGGGCGATGCAGCTCCACGACAGAGCCGACGGCGGCGCGCTCGGACCACTGCACCCACGCCCCTCCCCCCCCCCCGTGCTGAGCACGGACGGCATGGCCGCGTGACTTCGACCTGGCGCCCGTGCCGCAGGTCTTGCTGCAACACCCCCACGCTACCCAGCTCGCCCAGTGGCAGTCGACAGGGCAAGGCCTGCCATGGCAGCTCGAAGTCTGCCTGCTCGGACCCCGGCGCCCACGCCCCCTCGTGCTGGACGCGGACGGCGAGGCCGCGTGACCTCCAGGCCGTGTCCGCGCCGCAGGTCTCGCTGCAGCGCTCCGCGCCCATCGCCCGAGAAGGGGCTGCGCGGCGGCGGCGGCGCCTCGGCCGCCACGTCTGCTCGCGCCCCCCCTCTCCGGGCAAGGCACCCCTCCTCGCCCGAGCCGTCCTCCTCGAAAAATCGCCGTCGCCCTCCCGCCTCCGCGCGAGGCCGCATCGCACCCACGGGAGCCTCGGGAGATCCCTGCGGCGAGCGCGTGCCGTCGGCGACGCTCTCTGCCCACCCCCCCCCCCTCCTCCGCCGAAGCTCTTCGTTTTTTTTTTTTTATTGTTGTTGTTGTTGTTGTTGTTGTTGTTGTTTGATTTTTTTGTTTTTTTTCAGCGCCAGGCTCCACCGCCGTGCCCCGAGGCGCGCAGCGGGAAACGTCCTCCTCTGGCCCCTTCCGAGGCCTCTCCCTCGCGTCGTCCGTGGGCGCTCTCGCGGTCAGGGCTCCAGGGCGCGCTGGCGCGCCCGAGCAGGCTGCAGCCGCGGGTCGGCACGTTTTTCCATTTCTCGCCCTCTTTGGAGGTCCGTCCACAAGAAACCTCCCACGAGAAACCCAACCCTGCGACCCCAGGACGTCCATTGATTTTTGCTGTGGGAACGCCTTCCACAACGAAACCATCGAAAACCAAGACACCCAGGGCACCCTGGAGGCAAGCAGGGTGTTCATTGGCATGGGTTTCCACTGTATCCTGGCTCCCCAAGGTCCTGGCTCAGACGCCTGGACCAGACCCCAGACTCCTGTGCGCTCCTGGGCGCTCCTGGGGGGGGGGGGATTTCCGCGCGACTCTGTCAAAAAAGGCCTCGGGAGCGTGGTGTGGATTCCACGCGGCCAAGACGCTCTGGGATGGGCCCAGCGCCCGTCCAGGAGCCGTCTTGGGCGCCCCTTGGGCCCTCTCGGAGGCCCTGGTCGGCCCAATACACCACCATCATTGACGACATGCTTCGCCGCCCTCAAGCACTGTTTGAGTATCATGAATGCTCGCCGTTTCTGTCTTGAGAGCCTCTAAGACGGCCCAAGAAGCCCCAACGAGGACCTCCAGAGATACCCAAGACGGGGAACTCGAGCTGACACGTGGAGCTCTTTCACCCAAGATGGCCCACCAAGAGGCCCGAAGAGACCTCCAAATGGCCTCTCTCAAGAAGCCACTTGTCCAGGACCCAGGCACGGTGGCGGAACGAACCAAAAGCCACTAGATCCGCTGCTCCTATGTCTATCACAGGGGTGCTTGGCGTGCTGAACTTTTTTTTGGGTTTGAACCTTCTTAACCCGCCGGATGGCCTCAGTATGGCGTCCACGACGACTAAGACGGTCCAAGGTGACCTCCAAGACGGCTGAGATGCCCCGAAGTCGGCCCAAGACGACTCCGAGACGGCCCAAGAGGCCCCCAAGAAGTCCCCCAAAGCCTCCATGTGGACATCCAGGAGGCCAACATCATTGATTTGCCGGATGTTTGTCATACATTTTCGCGTTCTCGCCTTGTCGGGCTCTCGACGTCCGAGGACGGCCCCCGAGGCCTCCAAGGTAGCCCCAAGACGGCCCCAGGCCTCCAAGAGGCGCCCAAGACGCCCCCAAGAGGTACCAACGAGGCCCCAGGAGGCCCCCCAGAGGCACCATGTTCCTCCTGTTCCTCCTTCTCCTTCCTCTCCCCCTCCTCTCTCGTCCTCCCACAAGTGCTTCCCCAAGTGTCTCCACAACGGCTTGGGAAACACGTAGGTCAACGTTTTTTATATGGCGTTTCGACATTAGGCGGAGGGGGGGGGAGGGGGGGAGGGGTCTAGGTCCAGACCTCTGCTTAGCTCGACTGTTTGCAACAGTGCGGCCTCTGGGGGAGACTCCACCCGCTCGAAACAGCCGCCAAACAACAGTCAAGATCTACTCCATAGGGGGGGGAGGGGCGGGGGGGGGCGAGGGCCTGCGCCGATCGGCAAAACAACGAATAAGAAAACGGCCACTAGTCCAATGGTTTGGCAAGACGTCGGCCCAACATTTGGCCACGTGGGCGCTTCAAAAAGGCAAGGGGGCGGTTGTGGTTGGCTGTAGGCGTCTTCGATCCGCCGCCCCCCTCTGCTTGCAAAGGGATGCTTGGCATGCCAACCTTTCGAGCTAGAGGCCTTCTACGTAGGGTCCGAGTAGATGGGGTCGGAGGATCGCGCCGCAACGCCGATACATCGGCGATGCATCGGCGAGGCATGGGTGACGCGCACTGGTGATGCACCGTCGACGTCGGCGATGCATCGGCGACGTCGACGTGAAGCAAATTGGGCCCCACATCGAGCTGCATCGGCGATGCATCGGCGATGCGGCGCGATCCTCCGACCCCATCTAATCGGACCCCATCCAGGAGGTCTAGACGAGCTGCAGACCTGGCGGAAACAGTTGTGTCCGTCGGCCCTCGCACCCAAGATGGCCCCCAGAGGGATTCAAAAAACGAGCGAAGATGGCTCAATGTTGCCCCCAACTGTGCCCAGATGGCCTCCAAGTCGGCCCGGGCGGCCGAGGATACACCCAAGACGGCCCAGGATGGCACCAAAATGGCCCCCAAAGCCACAAGATGGCCCCAGAGACCTCCCAAACGGCCGTGCAACGCCCCAAGAAGGCCCCCAAGACGGCTGCTCACGGAGGCCTCCAAGGCGGCCTCCGCAGGGCAAAAGGCCCCCAAGGCGCCCCCAGGGGCCGCAGACAGGACCCCAAGAGGCCCTCAAGAAACCCCTCGGATGCCCTCCAAGGAAGCCGGCCAGCGTCGAGGGCCAGGCCCCGCATCCTGCGCACGCTGTTGTCCTGCGCGTCCTGCGCAGGGTCGAGCCCATGCCCGCCGGGTGCCTTGCTGCTCGGCATCGCTCGGGTCAAGTCGGGCCTGTCCCCCTACAGGGGGATTTTCGACGACAAATGGAAAATACCCCCCAAAATAACCCAGAACTAGTTCAAACATAGTCTAAACATTTTCGACGAAAAATAATCCAAAGTTGGGGGGTGAGATCGAAGTGGAACGGAGAATCCCCCACCGGGAAATCGGTTTCGGTTTCGGTTTCGTGCCGCGTGTGCAAGCGAGGCGAAGCAGCGCGGGCGGGCGAGAGGAATGGCTCCACTGCTGCCAGGGCGGGGCAGAACGACTATCCGAACCTCCCCCGGTGGGCGGGCGGTAGCCCATTTGTCCCGCCGTGGTGTCCCGTCGGTGTCTCGTCGATGTCCCGTCGCCGTCCCGTCGGTGTCCCGTCGGTGTCCCGTCGGTGTCCCGTCGTTGTCCCGTCGATGTCCCGTCGCCGTCCCGTCGGTGTGCCGTCGGTGTCCCATCGGTGTCCCGTCGGTGTCCCGTCGCCGTCCCGTCGGTGTCCCGTCGGTGTGCCGTCGGTGTCCCATCGGTGTCCCGTCGGTGTCCCGTCGGTGTCCCGTCGTTGTCCCGTCGATGTCCCGTCGGTGTCCCGTCGGTGCAGTCTAGCGGCCACGGACCGCCAGGCTCTGCCAACGATGGTGACATTGATAGTGGGATCGATCGTGAAAGTGGCCGTGAGGTTGATCGTGAGATCGACTGAGTGAGATCGATCGATCGTGGGATTGATCTATGGTGAGGTCGATCGAGAGGGGCCGATAGTGAGATCGATGGAGGGATCTCATCGCGACGCAGCACCGTCATCGCGCTTCGTCGCCAACTCGAGGGCCCATCACCAGCATCGCCATCAGCACAACCGTCGCGGTCGCCATCAGCTGGTTCTTTCTTCCCCCCACCTTCTTACCACCCGAAGGGTGAGTCTTATAGTTAGATCGGGCGTGTCCTCCTAAAGGCGGATTTTGGATGGAAAAATGCAATAGTCAAATCATAATCAATAAACAATCAACAATACTTAGAATATCGTCCCCAGACTATTTTACTATTTTCGAATACTCCTCCTGCAGAGGGACAAACCCGACTTAATATTATAGGTATATTCGAGGGGCAAGCGCTGCTATCGCAACGGCCGCGGTCTCACGACAACGGCGCGGGCCCAGGCCAGGCAGGCCCGGCCGCCTCCTGGCGAACCGATCTACCTTCAGGTCGGACATTTCCCCCTACAGACGGACTTGGACGACAAATAAAACATAATCAAAACATACCCCTAACATGCTCAAACATAATAAATACAATCGCACCAAGACTTTCTTGACTATCTTTCAGTTTTCCTCCTTTAGAGGGGCATGCCCGACTAAATCTAGCTGTACCCCTAGAGTAGCGCGAAAACAAAGGGGACGACATGAACTAACCGCTGCTCGAGTCGGAGGAGACCTCGTGGCCACTCGGTGCACTCAAAACTGAACCGAAACCTCAGACCCACCGATTGCATCCGGCTCCACGGCGCGCGGTGCATCAAACGCGTTGCGCAGAGTCCCTGGGTACAGTAGACGCATACGATAATCCGCCACCGTGCCTGCACGGAATGGGCGTGTTTGACTGCTTGCCTGTGTTATGGGATGTTTTTTTAAATTTTCTAGGGCCGACGACCCCCCCCACGCTGCACGCACCTTCCGAAAACCGCACCCCCTTGAATTTGTTCTCCGGCGTTCTTTTCGGCCTCTAGACGGCCAAGATGGCCTCCACGACGGCTTCCACGGCAGCCAAAATGACACCAAGACGGCCCACGATGGCCCAAGACGGCTCAAGAGGTTCCCAAGACGGGCTCAAGGCAGCTCAAGAGGCCCCCAAGACGACTCAGGAGGGCTCCAAGAGGCCCTCCTGGAGAGCCCGAGGAGGCCAACACCATTGACTTTCCTTGGGTTTGTGACAGATTTTGAGGCTCTCGCCAGTTTGGGTTTCCGAGCGGCCAAGACGGCCCGAGAGGTCGCCAAGAGGCCTCCAAAATGGATCCAAGACAGCCCAAGAGGCGCCCAAGAGGGCCTCAAGTCGGCCCAAGACGACCCACAGATCGCCCGAGGAGGGCTCCCAAGAGGGCCCCGAGACGGGCGCTCCAAGAGGCACCAAGACGGCCCAGAGAAGGGCCTCCGAAGGCGTCGGACGGGCCAGGAGTCCCCTAAGACGGCCCAGGAAACCCCAAGAGGCTCCCAAGGGGCCCCAGGAGGCCCCCAAGAGGCCCCTCAAGAGGCCCTCAGGAGGCTACCAGGAAGCCCCCAGGCCCCAAGAGGGCCCCCCAAAGCCTTCTCCTCCTCATCCTCAATTTCTCCCTGTCCTCCTCCTCCTCCTCCTCCTCCTCCTCCTCCTCCATACTGCGTGGACGAAAACGATGTCGAGATCATGACCCTCCCCAAGTCAGACGACCCGCTGAATTGTCGCGGGGTGTGAGCTCGACCTCCTTCCTACCGCGCGGACGAAGACGAGATCGAGTTCACGACCCGTCCTTATCAGACCACTTGTCGGAATTGTGCTGCTCCTGTACTCGGCCTCATTCCTGCTGCGCTGTTGCACAGGCATGGGGGCGGGCTTTCCCGCACGCAGCTGGAGTCATCTTGCTATGATTAATTTTAGGTCGGGCAAGTCCTCCTACAGGCGGGTTTTGGGCGGCAAATGAAAAATAGCAGACAAATGCTCAAAAGTAGTCAAACATATTAAAATCATGCTCCCAGACTATTTTTAAAACTATTTTTAAGTATTCCTCCTGTAGAGCCACAAGCCCAACTTAGGATCCATGTTGAGGCGCATTCTTCGTCGAGATATGAGGGCCCATCGGTGCCCCAGAGCCTCTGTGCGCTCCCAGGGGCCATCGAGGGATCAGGAATTTCCAGAATGCACCTGCTGGCAGGCCGATCTCTTTTCCGATGTGCCTACCGCACCCAAGACGGGAGCGAGATCTTCGACCCACCGATTGCGTCCGGCTCCGCGGCGCGCAGTGTTTCAAACGCGTTGCGCAGACTCCCGGGGCACAAGAGGTGAGCGTGCAAGCAGACACCGTCGGCCCTGATGGGCAAACCGCCAGCACGCGGTGACCGCTGGCAGCTCGTTCCTCGCGCCCAGGGCCTCGGCCTGTCAGGTCGCCACGGCACACACCTGGACCCTTGTCCACAAGATCCAGCGACATCGCCACCAAAAGCTGGGCCGAGCTAACTACAGTCGAGCTTGATTGGAGAGGACGCGCTACAGGACACAACACCCCTCCGAGGCCCGCGTTGCTCCAGGAATGCAGCCGACCGGACGCAAGAGGCGATACACAGGACACAAAGACAAACTTCACTTGGCAGGGTCGACTTTAGAGGCCTCCTACGTGGGGTCCGAGTAGATGGGGTCGGAGTAGCACGCCGAATCACCGATGCACCGGCGATGCATAGGCGATGCATCGGCGATGCACCGGCGATGCCACGTCGACGTGGGCGATGCATCGGCGACGTCGACGCGGAGAACACCGGGCTCCACACCGAGCCGCATCGGCGATGCATCGGCGATGCGGCACGATCCTCCAACCCCATCTGCTCGGACCCCCTCTGGGAGGCCTAGAGACTTGCTACTGAAGCTCGGATGTCTGCTCTCGCGACGCACTCGGCCAGAGCTGCAATCACGTCGGGCAAGGAGAGATCTTCGGGGCCGCGGAGCGAGCCCGCCAGCGCGGCAGCAGGGGCACGCGCTTGCTTCGGAGGGGGTCGACGGCGGAGAAGAGGAGGGTGAGGAGGATTGGGGATGGGGGGAGGGGCTCTGGAAACTTCTCGGGGGTTGTAGGAGGTCCCAGGATCCTTCTGGGAGGGAGGGAGGGGGATGGAAAAGGAGGGATCTGGAGAGAAGAGACGGAGTTGCGGGAGGAGGAGAGAGGGAGAGGAGGGAGTCTCTTGTTAGGGGGGGGGAATGCAGGGTGGGGAGGGTCTTGGCAGCAGCAGCGGCGGTGCCGCCTCTCGAGCTGCTCGTCCACGACGGGGCTGCTCCCGTCCTGCAGCTCGGTGGTGCTGACCTGGACAGACCCAGGCCGCTGGCGACTCGGCCAAAGTAGTCACGACTCGGGATGACAGGTCGGCCCCCAGAGAGGGGGTCGAGAGCTCCGGGGGGGGGCGATGGCCTGAACAGATCGAGCCGCCAGAGGCCTGGGAGTGTGAGGGGGAGAAGGGGGGGAAACGTCATCATCCCCTCCTCCTCCTCCGCCTCCTCTTCCTCCTCCTCCTCCTCCTCCTCCTCCGCCTCCTCCTCGCCTCCTCCCCAGACCTCTGGCGAGTTGCTCTTTTCGAGCCGCAAGCCTCTGGGAGCTTTCGACCTCCCCTCCGGGGCCAAGCTTTCTTCCCCAGCCGCCCCTCTTGACCGTCCCGAGGCCTGGAAGTGGCACCAAGGAGGCCGAGACTCGCCCGCAAAGTCTTTTTTTTTTTTGTTTTCTTTTTCTCCGTGCCGCAGGAGGCCTGGGTCCTCCACCCGTCCCAAGCGCCGAGCGAGAGCTGCCACGGGCAGGGGGCGACCTCGCGTGCCGGCGCGCACCAAGGGGGCGTGGGGCGGGGGAGGCTTCCGAGAAGGCGTGGGGGCTTCCTCGAGGGCGTCCTGCCTGCAGAGGTCCCCCTTGCGCCACCCCCTCCAGAAGGGGGTTTAGCGAAAGGTACTCCAGGTTTCGTAATAAAAGGGAGGGGATCTCAACCCTCCCAGACGAGAAGTTTTAGACCCCCTCCCCTGGGAGAACCCTCCAAAACATCGTCCCCAGACCCCCCCAGGCTCTCCAAGATAGCCTGGAAGAGACCCCCCCGAAATGAGACCCCCCTCCCTTTATTACGAAATCTGGAGTACCTCTGGCCCAAGGTGCCCCCAGCTTGTCGCTCCAGTTGGGAACCCCCGGGGCCCCGGGCCTCTCGTGAGGGGGTGCTCTGGAGGCCGTGGGGGCCTCCTTGGAACTCCCGGGGGGCACCTTGGGCCAGGGTCTCCTCCTCCTCCTCCTCCTCCTCCTCCTCCTCCTCCTCCTCCTCCTCCCCCTCCCTCCTCCCTCCTCCTCCCCATCCCCTCCTCCTCCGCCTCCTCTTCCCCCTCCTCCTCCTCCTCCTCCTCCTCCTCCTCCTCCTCCTCCTCCTCCTCCTCCTCCTCCTCCTCCTCCTCCTCCTACCGCTCCTCCTCACTTCCAGCAACACCCGGCTGCTGCGCGACGCCAACTCGCAGCCTTCCCGAAGGTGCTCGCAATGCCATGCGTGCTTTCTGCGCGGGCGCCCCGGCAATCTCCCGCTGCTCCTCCGCCCGGCCGCTGTTAAAGACGAGGAAGAGGAGGATGAGGGAGGCGGAGAACGCACAACCTCCTCCTCCTCCCCCTCCTCCTTCCCCTCCTCCTCCCCCTCCCCCTCCTCCTCTCCCTCCTCCTCCTCCTCCTCCTCCTCCTCCTCCTCACGAGCTTTTTGCTTTGCTCACCGCCCTCGAGGAGCCCAGGGAAACAAGAGGAAGGAGGACGGATGAGGATGAAGAGGGAGGATCTGAGGAAGAGGAGAATGAGGAGGAAAGAGGCGGGGGAAGAGGAGGATGAGGCGGGCGGGAACACAAAAGCGGGAGGCGCTCTCCACAACTGCTGCTCCTCCTCCTGTTCCTCCTGATCCTCCGCCTGTCGGGGCTCCTCCCTCTCCTCCTCCCGCCCTGCGGGGCGGGAAGAGGGGGAGGCGGGGGAGGGGGGGAGCTGGTCGTCGTTGCGGTCGTCGCCGTCGCCGTCCTCGAACCTTGAAGCTCTATCCCCAGACCCATCCCCGGGTTCTGGCCGATTGGTTGACCCGCGTCCAACCGCGGTGACGACAACACCCAGAAACGCCCAAAACCTCGGGAACGAAAACGTCGCAGTCGCCGTCGCCTCCGCCGTGGCCGTCGCGGTCGCCGTGGCAGCCCTCCCCGCTGTCACCATGGCCGTCGTCGCGGCCTCCAGGGGCGACGTCGCGTACACGGCCAGCCTGCTCCGCCCTCCGAGGCGGTGCCCGTCCGCCACCTGCCGGGCGACGAGGGTGACGGCTGCGGCAGCGAGGGTCGAGACTCGTGGCCCTTTTTCGGCCCGTCTTGGGCTTCTGTGAGCCTAAGAGACCTCCCAAGAGGAGGACGAGGAGGGCTTTGATGTACTTCACCCTTTGCGGTCGGCTGGGGCGGCTGGATCTGCCTCAAGATCCCGGTCGGGGCGTGCTCCAGGAGAGGTCCAGGGTGCTGGTCTTGAAGGGGAGCGGCGGCAGCGGTGGCGGCTGCGGAGACGACGACGATGATCTGCTGCTGCTGCTGCTGATCCTGGTCCTCTTCGCAAAATCGGCTTCTGGGCCCCGGACCCCTTCGGAGCGCGCTCGGACCATGTTTCCGAGGCGGGTCCCGCCGTGGCGACGAGGACGCTCTGGGCGGTTAGAAGGGGGCTGCGCACGCCCAAACGTCTCGATCCCATGTACCCAGCATCCGATGCGGTGATTGTAGCGTGGCCCCCAGATGTCGAACATTTCTTCCATCCTGGGTCGTGCTTTGATGGTTGCGGTCTCTGGGCGGCGAAGATAACTCGAAACGTTTGACTTTCTTTCGCCAGGACGCTGGAGGGAAGGTGTCCACAGGGGTGTCCAAGAGGGGGGCTCGCAAATCATGGCCCGAGGTACGTGCGCGGCCCAGGGGGGGCCAGGGGACGTATTGGGGGTCCATGAAATCCGGGAAGATCTCGTGGCCCGGCTCTGATATCCCCCCCTGATCATCACCGCTCTCTTGGCCGCTCCCGATCCCCACCCCTTTCACCCCCCCAGTCGGCGAGCTTCCAGCGGACGGGCCTGGGAGCTTCAACTGCTCATCTGTTCTGCACTGACGCTGGAGGCCTGCAATCTTCAACCCGAACTCCGACGGCGAGGTCGACATTATCTTGCCTGCGCACTTCTTCTGGAGGAGAAAACCGAGGAGCAGATGCGCACCTTCCCTCTCGGCGCCGACACTCCGTGGGCAAACATAGCATGCTAACAACAGAAGGCTGCGCCATAGTGCTATCTCATTCCAGGCAGCTGCAGAGGAGAGGAGGACGAGGAGGAGGAGGACGAGGAGGAAGAGAAGGATGAGGAGGAGGATGGGGGGACAACGACGACGAGGGAAGAGGGGGGACAACGACGACGAGGGCGGTTCTCCAGAGGCGCCCCCGCGGCTGCGTGCGCCCCAGCCTCGTCCTCGCACTCCTCGTCCGGCGCCTCGGCGAGGGCGGGCGAGCCTGCGGAAGATCGGCCACGCCGCCCTGGTCGTCGCCACCGCGGTCGCCACCGCTCGCCGCCGCCATCGTGGTCGTCGTCGTCATCGTCCTCGTCGTCGTCGTCGTCGTCGTCGTCGTCGTCGTCGCCCGCCATCGACGCCGCCGCCGTCGTCGTCGTCGTCGTCGCCGTCGCGGCCGCCGCCGCTCGCTGCCGCCATCGTGGTCGTGGTCGTGGTCGTGGTCGTGGCCATGGTCGTGGTCGTGGTCGTGGTCGTCGTCATCGCCGTCGTCGTCGACGTTGCCGTCGACGACGTTGCCGTCCTCGCCGCCGTCGCCGCCTCGTCGCCGCCGCGGCCGCGGCCGCTCGCCGCCGCCATCGTGGTCGTCGTCGTTGTCGTCGTCGTCGTCGTCGTCGCCGCCGACGCCGCCGCCGCCGACGCCGCTTTCGCCGTCGCCGCCGCTACCGCCACCGCCGTTCGAGGATCGCTAACCTCATGCCCGTGAGAATAAACACTAGGGGATAATAAAGTTCGGGGTTCGGGGAGAGATAATACAGCCCAGCAGACCTCAGCATAATCTCGAAGTAAGAGATGATCAAGAGGAGACCAAGCCGAGCACGTTTTGAGACATCCTTGGCGTTTAGTTTTCATAGAAATATCCTCCCAAAATTCTTTTTAAGTGCTCGTGTAGGGTAGCTCATGTGCTTCATTTTCCATGGATAATCAACCCCAGGTTCAGGCGAGCGTGAGGACAAATAGAAATATAAAATAAGAAAAAGAAAATATAATAATACTAAGAAAAGAAACAGAAGAGAAAATTAAGAGAAGAATAACGGAAAAATGGAAAGTTCCAAATCTACCAATTTTAATTTACAAGCGCTTTATGAAAATTGAGGTAGCTCATGTGCTCCCCTTTCCATGGATAATCAACCCCAGAGATAAAAAAGTTCAGGCGCGCGCGGGATATATACATATATAAAAAGGAAGATAATACAAATTATAAATAAAAAGAATCAACTTGCTGGTTTAGCTTGAAACATCCTTGAGACATCCTTGGAACATTGCTCGTTTCGTTTGAGTCTGCCTCCCAAAATTATTGGTTTCGCTTGACACATCCTGAAAAAGTGTGATCGCTTCGCTTGATGTTGCTATATCAACATCGCTTGATGTTGCTATCTCAACATAGCGTTTCGAGGTGATAATGAAGTTCGGCCTCAGCGCTCGCCGCCCAATTTGAATTTTGTATAGGGCGACGATAATCAACTCTAAACACTGAAGGGGGGGGGGTCCCTTTGTCATCATCGGCATGCGGTTATTCGAGGGAGGAGTCTAGGTTCGACGATTGCAATTTCAGGACGTCTCAGGCCTCTCCTCCCTGGAGGCATCCGGGAACCTCTGCAGGCATCTGAAGACCTGAGGAGACCGCTGGATCAGGGCGTCGTGGCCGCCGATGCCTCCGCCGTCATGGGCGTCGTCGTCGGCGTCGTCGATGTCGTCATCGTTGTCACCGCCGCCGTCGTCGAGGAATACGGAGAGAACGGAGCAAAAAGAAGAGTATGGGGAGGATGACGACGACGAACGGGCATCAGTTGGATAGGGAGTGTGGAGTGGGAGGCTCGATGACCAGGAGCTCAAATTTGCAGTCCAGGGTGCTTGGAGAGGGGTATGTGGCAGCCAATATATACATGTACATATGTGTTTACATAAATGTATATACAAACAAATATGGTAGCCAGCGTGGACCCCAATGTTCTAGTATTATAGCAGGTAATGCAATACATATGGTGCCAACTGTGTGGTGGAAACTATGTGGTGCAATCCACTTCGACTGTCTTGAAGCTGTCCTCTCCACTGCTCGTGCAAACATCCCACCCTCCCACCCGCAACTTGGTCGCAAGACATCTTCAGACAAGACCGTGACGGTAGGTACTGCGTGGCACTTGGCCACAACACCGATGCCGACGACGACAACGACATCGACGACGACGGCGCCGCCGACAGCGACTGCGACGACACCGACGACGTCTCCAATGTTCTCGACGACGACAACGACGACGACGACACCGACGACGACGACAACGACGCCGACGACGACGACGAAGACGACGACGACGTCGCCAACGGAGACGACGACGAGGGAGGAGAAAAAACGACGACGGCGACAACGACGACAACGACGATGGAGGAGGGAAGACGGCGACGACGCCAACGACGAAGAAGGAGGAAGGACGGCGACGCCGACGACGACAACGACGAGGGAGGAGGGAAGACGACGACGATGACAACGACGACGAAGACGACGACGACGGCGACGAAATAGGAGGACGACGACGAGACGCCGACGACGGACGACGACGACGAGGGAGGAGGATAACGACGAGGGAGGAGTGAAGACGACGACGACGACGACGACGACGACGGCGACGAAATAGGAGGGACAACGACGAGACGCCGACGAAGACAACGAGGGAGGAAGGACGACCACGGCGACAACGACGACGGAAACGACGACGACGCCAAAGACGACGAGGAAAGACATAAGACGACGACGGCGACGACGACGACGACGACGAGGGAGGAGGGAGGACGACGACGACGACGACGCAAGAGCGCGCGCGCACAATTTTGTTGAAAACCCGTGTTGCGAAACCTTGTGTTTTTGTAGGTTTTTTGGACGCACGATTTCGACATTCTTCCGAAACCGAAGGTTTTTGAAGGATTTCGGCATACGCCCGCGACGACGCGCGCGTCTGCACTTCGTCCCATTTTTTGCAGAGGATTCTCGCGACGGCACACGCGCAAGAGCGTTCGACAGATTTCGACATGCGCGCGCGCGAAGCCCGTTTGGTAGCATTTTGTGAAAATCTTGGAAAACCTATGGTTTTCTTAAGATTTCGCAAGAGCTCGCGCGTAAGTTTTTTTTTGAATCAGTGTTGCAAAACCATGTGTTTTTTATATGTTTTTTGGAAATTCAATTTTGAAATCTCTCCGGAACCGAAGGTTTTTTAAGGATTTCGGCATGCGCGCGCCACGACGCGCGCGTGTGCACTTCGTCCCATTTTTTGCAAGGGATTCGTGAAAAAGTGATATGTTAGAACAACACATGTCACCGCATAGTGTTTTTTACAAGGGAACCGCAGGGGGGGGATACCGGCTTGGCTGGGATGGTATGAATTCATATTTAGGATGGACATGTGGTCAGAATCATATGTAATTTGCAGCACGCGCGGGGGTCCCGATAAGTCCGGGGGGGGGGGGGGTAGAATCTATTAGTCTTTTAGAAAGGAGAATCTACGTGATGCAAGCTATACGGTGTAAGCCATGTGGCGCGTGCTAAGTGGTGCACCTATGTGGTTTGAGCTATGTGGTGTAAGGTACGTGGTGCAATCTATGTGGTATGATCCAGCGTGCTCATCTATGTTGTGTGAGCTATGCGGTGTAAGTTACGTGGTGCCATCTGTGGGGTGCGATTGATTTTAACAAGCGAGTTGACAGATCCCGCGCTCTTGCAAACATCCCACCCACCCGCAACTTGGTTTGCAAAACCCACGACGACGATGACGACGCCGACGACGACGGCAACGACGACACCGACGACGACGACGTCAACGACGCCGACGACAACGACGACAACCACGACGACGACGACGACGACGGCGGCGACGACGACGCCGACGTCGGCGACGACGAAGACGACGCCGACGCCGACGACGACGACGAAGACGACGACGACGTCGCCAACGAAGACGACGACGAGGGAGGAGGGAGGACGACGACGGCGACAACGACGACAACGACGACAACGACGAGGGAGGAGGGAGGACGGCGACGACGCGAACGACGAAGAAGGAGGAAGGGCGGTGACGCGGACGACGACAACGACGAGGGAGGAGGGAAGACGACGACGACAACGACGACGACGACGGCGACGAAATAGGAGGGACGACGACGAGACGCCGACGACGGACGGCGACGACGACGAGGGAGGAGTTGGAAGGACGACCACGGCGACAACGACGACGGAAACGACCACGACGCCAAAGAGGACGACGACGACGAACACGAGGAAAAACAGAGGACGACGTAGGCGACGACGACGACGACGCGGGAGGAGGGAGGACGGCGACGACGACGACGACGACGTCGCAAGAGCGCGCGCGCACGCTTTTGTTGAGAATCCGTGTTGCGAAACCTTTGGTTTTTGCAGGTTTTTTGGACGCACGATTTTGAAATCCTTCCGAAACCGATGGGTTTTGAAGGTTTTCGGCATACGCGCGCGACGACGCGCGCGTCTGCACTTCGTCAAATTTTTTGCAGAGGATTCTCGCGACGGTACACGCGCAAGGGCGTTCGACAGATTTCGACATGCGCGCGCGAAGCCCGTTTGGTAGCATTTTGTGAAAATCATGGAAAACCTATGGTTTTCTTAAGATTTCGCAAAAGCTCGCGCGGAAGCTTTTTTAGCAAATCAGTGTTGCGAAACCCTGTGTTCTTGTATGTTTTTTTGGAAACTCGATTGCGAAATCCTTCCGGCACCGAAGGTTTTTGAAGGATTTCGGCATGCGCGCGCGACGACGCGCGCGTGTGCACTTCGTCCCAATTTTTGCAAGGGATTCGTGAACAACTGTTATGTTAAAACAAAACCGTCACCGCATAGTGTTTTTTACTAGGGAACCTCAGGGGGGGGATACCGGTTGGCATTTGACATTGTGATTTCATATTTAGGATGGACATGTGGTCATAATCATATATGAATTACATATCCGAAAGGTGAAGTGATAACTCCGGGGGGGGTAGATCCTATTCTGTTTTTAGAAAGGAGAATCTATGGGGTGTGAGCTATGTGGTGCAATCCACTTTGACTGTCTTGAAGCTGTCCTCTCCATTGCTCGTGCAAACATCCCACCCACCCACCCGCAACTTGGTTTGCAAAATCTGTTCAGACCGACTACGACGACACCGACGACAACGACTAGGACGACACCGACGACGTCTCCGACGACTTCGACGACGACAACGACGCCGACGCCGACGACGACGAGACGACGACGACGACGCCAACGAAGGCGACGACGAGGGAGGAGGAAGGACGACGACGGCGACAACGACGACAACGACGACAACGACGAGGGAGGAGGGAGGACGGCGACGACGCGAACGACGACGAAGGAGGAAGGACGGCGACGCCGACGACGACAACGACGAGGGAGGAGGGAAGACGACGACGACAACGACGACGACGACGGCGACGAAATAGGAGGGACGACGACGAGACGCCGACGACGGACGACGACGACGACGAGGGAGGAGGAGGAAGGACGACCACGGCGACAACGACGACGGAAACGACCACGACGCCAAAGAGGACGACGACGACGAACACGAGGAAACACAGAGGACGACGTGGGCGACGACGACGACGACGCGGGAGGAGGGAGGACGGCGACGACGACGACGACGACGCAAGAGCGCGCGCGCACGCTTTTGTTGAAAATCCGTGTTGCGAAACCTTGTGTTTTTGTAGGTTTTTTGGACGCGCGATTTCGAAATCCTTCCGAAACAAATGGGTTTTGAAGGATTTCGGCGTACGTGCGCGACGACGCGCGCGTGTGCACTTCGTCCCATTTGTTGCACAGGATTCTCGCGACGGCACACGCGCAAGGGCGTTCGACAGATTTCGACATGCGCGCGCGCGAAGCCCGTTTGGTAGCATTTTGTGAAAATCATGGAAAACCTATTTTTTTCAGATTTCGCAAGAGCTCGCGCGGAAACTTTTTTAGCACATCAGTGTTGCGAAACCCTGTGTTCTTGTATGTTTTTTGGAAACTCGATTGCGAAATCCTTCCGGCACCGAAGGTTTTTGAAGGATTCCGGCATGCGCGCGCGACGACGCGCGCGTGTGCACTTCGTCCCATTTTTTGCAAGGGATTCGCGAAAAAGTGTTATGTTGGAACCAAAAATGTCACCGCATAGTTTTTTTTTTTTTTTTGTTTTTGTTTTTGTTTTTTTTGTTTTTTTGTTTTTTTACATGGGAACCGCAGGTGCGGGGATACCGGCTTGGCTGGGAGGGTATGAATTCATATTTAGGATGGACATGTGGTCATAATCATATGTGACTTGCAGCACGCGCGGGGGAACCGATAAGTCCGGGGGGGGGGGGGGGTAGAATCTAGTACTCTTTTAGAAAGGAGAATATGTGTGGTGCGATCCATGTGGTGCGACCTATGTGGTGTCAGATATGTGTTGCAATAAAAGTTGTGCAATCGATGCAATCCAATGTATGTGGTGCGAGCTATCATGGTGCAGTATATGTGGTGTGAGCCATGAGGCGTAGGCTCATATGGTGCTATGCAAAGTAACGCCGAGCAGTGCAATCCAATGATAACCAGCGCAAAGAACGCACTGTAATTCAATGTGACGCAATGCAGCGTGGCGCGAAGCAATGCAGCGCAATGTCGAACAATGTAGAGCACTGCAAAACAATGCGAAGCATGGCATATCAACGCAAATAAATGCAAAACAGTTGGATGCAGTGCGACTGCAAAGCAATGCGATTGCAATGCGAAGACGCAAGGCAACGCACAGTAACGCACATCAGTGCAAAACAGTGCATGGCAATGCAATGCCAAGCGCTGCAAAGCGGGCGGCGGCGAAGCGACGGGCGGCGACGGCGGTCACATGGCGGCTAGAACGGCCCGCAGGCCCAGGTGACGGGAGGCGACGAGGCGACGACGGCGGCCACATGGCGGCTAGAGCGGCCCGCAGGCCTAGGCGACCGGGCGGCGACGAGGGGATGACGGCGGCCACATGGCGGCCAAAGCGGCCCGCAGGCCCAGGCGACGGGCGGCTACGGGCGGCGAGAAGGTGGTGACGGCGGCCACATGGCGGCCAGAGCGGCCCGCAGGCCCAATTCTTTAGAATACAAATGCGAATCTGAAACAATGTGTTGGGACTGTATGCATGTATGTATGCATGTATGTACGTATGTATATATGTATGTATATATATATATATAAACAGATTATATATAGGTATGTACAATATCGCTCGTAACTTGGGGGCGGTATATATATAAATATATATATATATATGCTACCCCCCCTCAGGGACCTACCTTTTTTTGTCTCTGGATATCCATATTGGATTTAAACGGAATGACAATGCGACCCACGTCGGAAGGTATCAGATGTCAGAGCCAGTTGGTCCCTACCCAACTAACATCCCAATGAGACTTCGATGCAAATCTCGAACAAGCGGTGATACGATGTTGTGTTCAGAGCAATGTAGCCCTGAATTGGCCATGGCGCAGTGGCGGTGGCATGGTTGGACCAGCAAGAAGTGCGACTAGTTGGGGTTCCAGGCCCCGCGGGCATTCATTTTGCACTGCATGCCGCCATGCGTAGGAGCGCGCAAAGGAACGTATTGCAGAATCCCCACGTAGTGCAGACGCACGACCCAAGCCTACCCCCGCACGCCTGCCGCGGCAGAACATGTCTTCTGTATGTTGCGCTACATCTGTTGCACTGTGCGCGCCGAATTGCCCGCTGGTCGCCGTCATTGTGCCAAAGTAAAACCCCGCGTAGTGGCGCGCATTACCCCAGTCTGCCGCAGAGGGCCCGCCGCGGGCCGATCACGCCATCAGCACGTCACGCATGATGTGTTGCACCATCTCCCCCGTCTTGGCCCACAAGTCGTCGTCCTTGTGCCAGTAGTCGTACTGAGCCGAGCGGGTCTTGGCGGCAAGCAGCTTAGTCCCTGCCTTGGCGGTGGCGCTCCTGTGCAGGCGGTCCTCGATGAAGCGCCACGCGCGGTCAATGATCTGCGTGCCGCTCTTGACCTTGAGGTGCTTCCCTGACGGGAGTGCGTGCGTCTTCAGCTCGACGTACCTGGGAGGAATCAGCGCCCTCTTGCCGCCGACGTTCTTGTACTTCTTCTTGTGGACAACGAAGTCGTGGATGACACCAGGCGCGCGTAGTTTGTAGGAGCGCGCCGAGTCACTGTGAAAGACAACGTCGCGGTCTTTCAACCAGCGCTCGGCAAGGGGCTTCCACTCTACCTTGCGCGCGGCCCCAGGGCCAGGCGCCCGCTTCTCCGCCATCTCGGGGCTCAGCCTCGTAAGGGTCAGCGTGCGTGGCTTCCCGCGCTGCGCAATGCCCAACCACTGCTCCCGCATGACGGGGTGAGTCGGGTCTCCCAGAGGCTCGGGGCCGTCAGTCAAGTCCATCTTGTCGAAGATCGCCTCGTCAACCTCCACGTCTGCCTGTATTCAATGGTCGGCTCCACGTCCTCCACGTGCATTCTCCGAGCCTGCTCAACATTGCTCCAGATCCGCGCCACTGCCTTGTGGTGGACGCCGAACATGATGTGGGTGTTCGCGTGGGAGGTCCCCGTGAGCTTCGCCAAAAGAGTCACGGCCTGATTCTGCAGGCTCTCGGAACCAGAGTGCGTGCTGAAGATTGGGTTAAGGTGGGCAGGGGGCACGTGCTTCTGGCAGCACTTCGCATTGCAACGGTGCAAGAGGCGATCGCCCTTGCGCGGGCGGGCGACTAATTCCCCGAGCGTGCCGTGCCGCACCCGCAGATAGGACAAGTCGCCCCCGTCCAATCGACGAGCAGCTGTCCTCCAGCAAGATGTTCACGATCTCCGAGTCAGACGCCGCCGAGAGCTCTGGGACCGTGCGCTTCCACTTTGCTTGCTCGCGGCGCAATCCCCTGCCGGGCGTCGCGCCCTTCTCCCTGACGTACGGCGTGTTCTTCCAGTCCTTGGTCTTGGTTGCAGAGGGGCGCTTGAGCACCGTCCGAGCCCGAACGTCCTCCGCAAGCAGCGGCGGGGCGACGGCAGACGGCCGCCCCAGGCCCCTGGCGCGATGGCACGGGCGAGGCAGCGCGCGGGAGGCGCGGGCACCCGCGGCGCCGGCTGCCGACTCTGCCGAGAAACAGCTGCAGCGATGGCGACAGTTTGAAGGGGGGGGGGGCGACAAGGGGGGAGTTCTAGTGACGACGATGGGCGACAACCATTGCGATCGAGTTGCTGGGCGCAAGTGTTTGAGATGGCTTCGCCGCCACAGCGAGGCAACGCCCCCGCTGCTTATCAGCAACCCCAAGCATCGCCCTGATCGAACCGGGGGCGCCGTCTCAGTTGGAGCGCTGACCAAACGAACGACGCGGATGATGAGCATTGGATGCAATCGAGCACGTGTGTCTGCCGTTTCATCTGGCGGCGCCAAATCATACCGATGGCTTGGCGCAGTTCTCTTGGTAGTGTGATGTGCGGAATGCGTGGCGACGCGGTGGCGGTGGGCTGACTGGGGGTGTGCGGGCTGGAGCGCCGGGAGAGGGGCGCGCGCAGACAGTCGCGCATGTCCCGCGCCAGGTCCTCTGCCCGAAGGGGGGGGGGGGGGGGGGCGCCCCTGACGCGCCGTCGCGCGCGACGGCGAAGTGGGGGCTGTGGGCCGTCATGTCAGCGTTTTCGACGCCTGTGGCCCTCTTCGTCGCGCGCTGGTCCTTGGCGGCGTAGCCGACGAGCGACAGCATCGCAAGTGGTAGCTGAAAGGAGGTTGCGTTGCGTGGGGGGCGCGAGTCTTGGGCCCGACGCTAGCGGCGCAACGAACGGCAGTGCAGACGGGAAGACGACGGGGAGGGAAATGGGTAGGATCGCAACGGGGGCGAGGAGGGAGCGCGAGGTCAAAGAAGAACAAGGGAATGTTGGGGAGGCTCATAGAAATATAAACGCAATGGAAACGAGGGCGGAATGCGAGGTCAAGGAGGAGAGGGAGGAGATGGGAGGAGGAGAAGGAGACTGACGGAGAACGAAGCAGGAGTGAGAAGGATATGGGAGGAGGGTTGCCAGGAGAAGAAGGAGGCTGACGTGTAGAACTGTGAGGGTAGCATTGCGCCCGACGCGGGCGTTGCGCTCAAAACCGATCGGCGCTACGCCCGGCGAGGAGGGCATTGCGCCCAGAGCTGATGGGCATTGCGCCCAACGAGGATGGCACTGTGAACTCTGTGAGCGACGCTTCCCGATCCGATGGGCGTTGCGCCCGACGAGGAGGGCGTTGCGCCCGATGCGGGCGTTGCGCCCAAAGCCGACGGGCATTGCGCCCAACGGAGAAGCCATTGCGCGCGATGTGGGCGTTGCGGCCAAAACCCACGGGCAATGCGCCCAACGAGGACGGCATTGCGCCCGATATGGGCGTTGCGCCCGATATGGGCGTTGCGCCCTATGGGCATTGCGCCCAGCGGGAATGGCAACGTGCACGGTGTGGGCGACGCTTCCGGATTCGATGGGCGTTGCGCCCGAGGAGGAGGGCGTTGCGCCCGATGCGGGCGTTGCGCCCAGAGCCGATGGGCATTGCGCCCAACGAAGCAGCCGTTGCATGCGATGTGGGCATTGTCTCAGACCCCATGGGCATTGCGCCCGACGAGGAGGGCATTGCGCCCGATGTAGGCATTGCGCCCAAAGCCGATGGGCATTGCGCCCAACGAGGATGGCACTGTGCACTGTAAGCGACGCTTCCTGATTCGATGGGCGTTGTGCCCGACGAGCAGGGCATTGCACCCGATGTGGGCGTTGCGCCCAGAGCCGATGGGCATTGCGCCCAACGAAAGAACATTTCATGCGATGTGGACATTGCTCCAGACTCCATGGGCATTGCGCCCGACGAGGAGGGCATTGCGCCCGATGTAGGCCTTGCGCCCAGAGGGCATTTCGTCCAAGGAAGCGGCCATTGCACGCGATGTGGGCAGTGACCCAAAACCCATGGGCATTGCGCCCGACGAGGAGGGCATTGCGCCCGATATGGGCGTTTCGCCCCAAGCTGATAAGCATTGCGCCCACGGCAGAGTTACGTCAGGAGGCCGGTGAGGAGAAGAGGAGGAAAGAGGAGAGAAAGGAGGAGGACGTAAACAGAAGAAAGAGAAGAAGAGAGGAGGGAAAAAACGGACAAGTGGAAAACCCAGCTAAAAACGGACAAGCGGAAGACCCAACTAAAAGCGGACAGGCGGAAGACCCAGCGGACAAGCGGAAGACCCAGCGGACAAGCGGAAGACCCAGCGGACAAGCGGAAGAAGGAAGAGGGAGGAAGGCGATCGACGGGAGAGGAGGAGCAGGCAGGACGAGGACGAGGAAGAGCAAGACAGTGGATCGGAGAGCGAGGAGTAGAGAAAATCGGAAGGGATTGGGGTGGAGCAGGGGGGGAATACAATGATGAAGAGAAAGGGGGAGACAGAGAGAGGGAGGTAGGAAGATGGGGAAAATGATGAAGAGGAGGAAGGGGAATAAAATAAAGGGAGGAGAGGAGAAGAGGGAGGGGACGAACCTCCAACGATACGGACAATCGCGACGATGGCCACACACGATAGCCGCACCCAGAAACTCCATCTGATCCTCTTAGATGCTACCCCAATCACACTCCTTCATTTTTGCAGATCCTCCTCCTCCTTCTCCTCCCCGTCCTCTTCCTCCTCCTCCTCCTCCTCCTTCCTCCTCCTCCTCCTCCTCCTCTTCCTCCTCTTCCTGCTTCGCATCCGCATCCGCATCCGCATCCTCCTCAGCATCATCATTTTCCTCCCCCTCCTCCTCCTCCTCCTCCACCTCCTCCCCCTTCTCTTGGATTCCTCCTCCTGGAGGGCAGCTCCATTACCATCAACGCTGGCTCCCGCCTGAGAGGTTGCCAAACAACTCACTGTGAGGAGACTCCCACCTGAGAGGTCCCCCAAAAACCAGAGGAGGCTTCCGCTTGAGGGGTCCCCGAAAAACCAAACAAGACGAGGCTCTCGCCTGACAGGTTCCCCCCTTTAAAAAATGAAGCTCGCGCTTGAGAGGTCCCCAAAAAAACCGAACAAGATGAGGCTTCCGCCTGAGAGGTCTCCAAAACAAACAAACAGAAGGAGGCTCCCGCCTGAGAGGTCCCCCCAAACAACCCAAACAGATTGAGGCTCCCGCCTGAGAGATCCCCCAAAAAACCCAAACAGAAGGAGGCTCCCGCCTGAGAGGTCCCCCAAAAAACCCAAACAGATTGAGGTTCCCGCCTGAGAGGTCCCCCAACAAACCCAAAGAAACCCAAACACCATGCCTCTCATCCCTGCAACTGTCTCAAAAAAACCTAAAAACCCACAGTTCCAGGAGAGATCCGACGCCGCTGCCCCAGATGCATTGACGAGGGCCGCCATCTCCACTGGATTTTTTTTTTTTTTTTTTTTTTTTTTTTTTTTTTGGTTTTTTGACAGTTACAGGGATGAGAGGCATGGTGTTTGGGTTTCTTTGGGTTTTTTTTGGGACCTCTCCGGCGGGAGCCTCCATCTGTTTGAATTTTTTTGGACCTCTCAGGCGGGAGCCTCCTTTTGTTTGGGTTTTTTTTTGGAACCTCTCAGGCGGGAGCCTCATCTTGTTTGGTTTTTTTGGGACCTCTTAGGTGGGAGCCTCCTCCTGTTTGGATTTTTTTGGGATCTCTCAGGCGGGAGCCTCCTCCTCCTCCTCGTCCTTCCTCCGTTTTCTTCCTCTGATGAAATCCTTCTCCTCATTCCATCCTTCTGCTACTTTATCATGCTGCTGCTTTTCCTCCTCCTCCTCCTCCCCTCCTCCTCCTCCTCCTCCTCCTACACGACGAGGCGAAGAAGAAAAGGCATAATGAGGTAGGTCCCTGTGTGGGGGGGTACCATATATATATATATATATATATATATATATATATATATATATATATATATATGTATATATGTATATATGTATATATATATGTACAATTAATGTTGGCCAACGTGGTCCCCAACCGGTGTGCTTCTAGCAACTGGTGTGATGAAATCTATGTGGTGCACTCTATGTGGGACAATCTATGTTGTGCAGCGTATGTGGGACAAAGTGGATGTGGGACTTATGTGGTGAAACTTATGCTGTGCAGTCTATATATAGAAAGACGTATGGTGCAGTAGATGTTGTGCAATCTATGTGGTGCAGTCTATGTAGTGCGACAAATATGTTGTGCAATCCGTCCGATGTGGTGTAATATTGGTGGTGCAGTCTATGTTGTGCAATCTATGTAGAATTATCGAGGTGGTGCAATCTTTATGGTACAATCAATCGCTTGCTCAACTTGAAACTGTCCTCTCCACTGCTCGTGCAAACATTCCAACCTCCCACCCGCAATTTGGTCGCAAGACCTCTTAAGACCGTGACGGTAGGTACCAAATGGCACTTGGCAACGACGCCGACGCCGACGACGGCAGCGACAACGACGACGACGACGCCGCCGACAACGACTGCGACGACACCGACGGCGTCTCCAACGACTTCGACGACGACAACGACGACGACGAAACCGACGAGGACGACGACGCCGACGCCGACGACGACAACGCCGACGACGACGACGCCGACGACGACGACGACGCCGACGACGACGACGACGCCGACGACGACGACGAAGACGACGACGACGACGTCGCCAACGAAGACGACGACGACGAGGGAGGAGGGAGGACGACGACGGCGACAACGACGACAACGACGAGGGAGTAGGGAGGACGGCGACG